GATATCTTCTCTGTTGGCTTCAGTTTAAATGCTGCCATTGGAGTAGATTATCCCCTTTGGGAAGGAAACCTGTCAAGGCTCCTCGTTTGGCGTCCCATCACCTCGGTGCAGATGCTCGTCCTGCTGCGCCCCTCCGACACCACACAGCCGTGCATAATACGCAGGGCTGGCAGGAGGCTGTGCTTGTTTATTACACACAGGAGGCTGCGCTCTAAACCCAGAATGCCACCCAGAGAGCTCCATTATCGTGCTCGCTCTGCGCCTCCTCAAAGGGCCACCTGTTAGCAGCACACGAACGTCTGAAAGAGGAAAACGATGCGCTGCTGTGCGGAGATATTCGTCCACATTCCCCTTCCACTTGACAGGTCTATTGAGGCCTCAGTGTTGATGGGGAGTCTTCTGTTTCTATGGAGGCGTCACGTCTTTCCTTCTTTTTTTTATTGGGGAAATTCATTTCTTTGGAGGCAAATATTGCTGTGATATTTCTGTGATTGTGCTCTTCTGCATCTCCTGTCGCCCCTTTAACAAAGAAGAGCGCTCCACCAGCTTTTTCTTTTTTTAGAATAATTTAGTAATATTGCTGTGGGGAAAAAGTTGAGACTTTGGAATAACTTTTTATCTTCTCTTTTGAGTAGATAAAAGACTAAGAAAAAAATCTAATACTAAACACCTTCAATATCACTGATGGTAAATAAAATAAAAGCTTAGCATTCCTTGAGAGAATGTATATTACCCACCACCTTTCATGCCAGACTTAGACTAAAATTATCTCATGTGAAAGGATGGAGCTCTAGTCATTTTGGCCCAACCTTGAAGTTAACCATATCTCATGTTATATCACCTGACGTCACACTCAGAGTATATGTTGGGTATGATTCTCAGCTACTACCACGCCAGATATTAACATGGTATCTGTAAATTAGACAGAGTTGTAGCCATTTTGCTGTTCAATAACATTGATTGGTTGAGGCGACCAACTTGACATAGACTGACTTCAAAATGTAATAACATGTAGATGCACATCCAATGATTTTAAAAAAAAATAAAAGATTAATTAAATATTGTCCAGTAGATTATGATATATTTTGTTAACAGGCACATACACATACAATAAATACTTTACTTCTTTGCTTTTTGGCAGTGAAAAAAACTAAGTATGGAAAACGAAGAATTTTTGTCATTTTTGTCCTCATCACTGAAAAAAGAAAAATATATATTTACATATAGATAGATAGATAGATAGATAGATAGATAGATAGATAGATAGATAGATAGATAGACAAGATTTATCTAGTGTTAGTTAAAAATAATTAAAAACGTACAATTGAACATAATCATAATCAGTGTGTAATTCAAATAACTTCCAAGTTTTTTGTCTCATAGTTTCAGTATTGTAGAGTTGCTCCTGGTCTGAACTTTAAAATAACATAAAACTTTTATTTTTAGTCTGGTTTGAGTCAATTCTAAAGGGATAGACAACTTTGAAGTGTTTAATAGTTATGAATAGAACCAGGGCTTAATTTGTAAACTGATCAATGCTGAAACACAAATACTGGACAGGCCACCTGGGGGTGGGGGGTCTGGGGGTCCTCCAGAAATTTATTAATAAAGTAGATGCGATTTCCTGCATTTTGTCTTCTCCACTGAATTCACTGTCCTGTTGTCCAACTCCACATGTGAAACCTCCAGGCGCCTCCTCCATCTGTTCATGTCTGCTGCCTGTGGGCTCCTGCCCACATACGACTGCCTGGTTAGCTCGGCACTCACCCCCACCACTCTTTTAGGGGCGGGAGATTTTTTAAGGGTAGACGCAGAAATGCTACTTGAAGAGGCAGCTCGTATGTGGCATTAAGAAGTCGTAAGTGGCTGTTGTGTTTAAAATGAGTGTTTATGTAATTATTTTCAGTTTACATATCCAACATAAGCTTTATTCGTTCAAGGCAGTCATGTTTGTTCATAACTTCATAATTAGCAAGCCTGAGAGTTACTGGGTCCAAGCAGTTACCGAGATGCACCCTGTCAAAATAAGGGAGTACCCGGATCCTGTTCCTGCAGGATCCGGCTCAAATTAAGCTCCGGTTAGAACCATATCAGTCGTGACATTAGTCATAGTGCATGTAAATCTGACAAAGAGGCAGTATAGGTTAATAGCTAGCTAAATGAGTGACTTAAAAATTGTTTTAAGGCTAATAAAACAGCTATTTTTCTCAAGAACAATATACTGGTGTGAAAGCATGTTAAATTAAGTAACATTAAAACTCTTTGATTTTTTTCTTGACACAGTTTGATTACTTTTGTTGTCCTCTCAACCAGAGTCCGTGTTACTGTGAATGTAGACTTTGTGCCGGTGGTACTGAGGCTGCTGAACGCATCAGTAAAAAAAAGAGAAATGGTCATTAAAGGTCAACACTGGTTTACTTTTTTCATCCACGTTTGATTTATTTCTTTTATAAATCTCCCTTTTCGGATTTACTTGATCCAGCACTTTGACACAACACTACTTGTCACAGCTGATGTCTCTAACCTTTGACCTCCAAAAGGTCCATTTAGAAATAAACCTCTCCCCCCAGCAGCCAGCCTCTCACTCCAGTATAAACAGCACAGCTGGTTGAACTCCCAGAAGCCAGCTGACACACTCTGCTTCCAAATCCCCGGGGTGACACTTGCACTGGCACTGCAAATTTCCCCTGACGTTCCCAGCATCCTCTCTGCCCGCCACATATCTAACTCCTACATGCACCCAAGGGTGTGCTTCGTTCAACTTAGTGTGATGAAAGACCAAAGACCTCATCAACCCCCCAAACTCAACCTCTCAGGCTGAGAGAACACACTCGCCATCACTAACAGCTCAATACTTCTTTCTCATTGATTTTCTGTTTGCCCTGCACCGCAGCCTGTCTTTTAACACAAAAGACCCGCCTGCTACAACAACAGAACAGCTCTGTGGGACTGTGACGATGGATTATTTCAGTTTAAACAGAGGACGAAGCAAGTTCAAAACATGCCATCTTACATTATATGACACCAGTTTTATTTAGAAAAGACTTGTTGTGCTTAATATTTGATGGTATGGCTAAAAGTGTCTAATAAAAAGTAATAAAAATAGGTTGAACAATAATGCTTTAATGCCTTCTACAAGTCTGCAAAACACATGGGGAAAACTCCCATGTTCACTGGAGGAACCTAGTAAGGGTAAAGAGCTGGTCCACGGCTGGGACAGAACCCACGATGTTCCTCCTGAGTTTTAGGGAAAGTCAATAATAAATTAATTAAATCAAATGTGGGCGACACAGCAGAGCAGCGGTTAGTGATGCTGCTGCCTCTTGACAAGAAGGCCACAAGTTAGCCTCCCGGTCTTTCTGAGTGGAGTTTGAACGTTCTTCCCATGCACATGTGGATTTTCTCCGGATCATTTGGTTTCATGCCCCAGACCAAAGATATGAATGTTAAATTATTTGGTAATTCTAAAATTGTCCTAAGTGTCAGAGTGTGAATGGGTATTTGTCTTCAGGTGGCCCTGTGATGTACTTGTGATCTGTCCAGGGTGTATCCTGCCTCTTGCACAGTGGCTGCTGGAGATAGGCATCCATTCCCGACCAGAGTTAGTGGCTGGGATGAGAATCAGCACCTCAGAATCTGAGGCCATGGTCCTCAGTCAGAAAAGGGTGGATTGCTCTCTTCGGGTCGAGAGTGAGGCTCTGCCTCAAGTGGAGGAGTTCAAGTATGTTGATGTTTTGTTCATGAGTGAGGGAAGGATGGAGCGTGAGGTTGACAGAAGGATTGGTGCAGTGTCTGCAGTATTGTGGACTCTGTGCCGGTCCGTTGTGGTGAAGAGAGAGCTGAGCTGTAAGGCAAAGCTCTCTGTTTACCGGTCGGTCTACGTTCTCACCTACGGCCACAAACTTTGGGTGGTGAATGAAAGAATGAGATTGTGGATACATACGGTTGAAATGAGCTTCCTCTGCAGGGTAGCTGGACTCTCCCTTAGAGACAGGGCGAGAAGTTCAGATATCAGGAGAGACTCAGAGTAGAACCACTGCTCCTCCACATCAAAAGGAGCCATTTGAGGTGGTTCGGGCATCTGGTAAGGATGGACCCTGGGTACTTCCAAAGGGAGGTGCTTAAGGCATATTCAATTGGGAGGAGACCCCGGGGAAGACCCAGGACACGCTGGAGAGACTATATCTCTCTGTTTTGCCTGTGAACACCTTGGAGTCCTCCCAGAAGAGCTGGAAGAGGTGGCTGTGGAAAGAGATGTCTGGACCTCCCTGCTCAAACTGCTGCTCCCGAGACCCGACTTTAGAACAAGTGGAAGATAAGGGATGGATGGAATATTCTTGTTAAACCAAGAATCATTGTATTCTGTTTATAATTTAAGCTTTTTTCAGTGGTACCTTGAAATGAAACATTTTTTCCTTTTTTTTCCCTTTGATTTTAATTCATTTTCTTTATTCAGGTTCTACTGACGTGAAACACTAATAATTCAGATATATGGATCTCATGAATCAGTTCTGTCACACCTCACAGAAATGTTTACTTTTGTAATGAAAGGTACAGTTGTGGGCTCTGGAGACCACTGAACAGACAGTGATGAAAGATGTGCGCAGTGCAGTGTCTCGTATTGAATAAGAAGGTAGAGGAGTGAATACAGAAAAGGCATTTTAAAGAAGAGAAACAAGAATCAGCGATGCGGGAAAGTCTCCTTTAGGCAAGAAAATATTTGATAATGCCTATTTTTACTTTTTTCAAATAATTTTAAGAATTAAATAAAGCAAATTTAATGTTAAAGTGAAAGAAAGGTCATGATGTAAAGCAATTGTAAGAGTCAAAACCTGAAGAAATAATGTTTGTGGTTGTATAAGACCTTCAGTTGTTTAATTACAAAATACATTTGTCATTTAATTTTGATTTATCAATTTTACTTGCAGAATCTGCTTCCTTTAGGATTTTGTTGACTGTAAGAAAATCTGCAGTACTGAAATGTATTTTCACCCCCCCAGCAGGAGGCGTTGCGCTGCATAGAAAATGGAGTTCTTCAGGATCTTGGTTCTGGTGTTCCTGTTTGCCGTCCTGGCCCTGTCACATGCTGCTGATCCTGGAGCCCCATTTGACAAGAGGAGAAAGGCACAAACCTCAGCAGATGGCAGCAATGCCTTACAGTACCCCCATCAAGTTCTGCAGGGCCACAGTTACGACAGGGACCGCAGGGGCCACGGCAGCCAGAGGGCCCGCTCTGCCAAGGGTGGAGCCGGGCTCCTTTCCCACAGAGCCCTACATCCTCTGCCCAGACCTGAGGACGATGGGACAGGCCTGGAGGGTCTGAGCCCAGTGAGAGTGGAAATGGGCCCCAGCAGGGACAGAGTTCGGCTGAGCACAAAGAGTCAAACCCGGGCCCAGGAAAACCAGCTCCAGGGGACACGTAAGGGAAGAGGGCATGGGAATGGACAAGGGCACCCTTCTGAGTACAGGAGACAAGGGAGCCGACGTGATAAGATGAGACACAGAAAAGGTGAGTCTCAAACACATCCAGACAAATAGAATCAGAAGTTGAGCATGCATCAGGACTGCATGTCAGTGTTTTCCAGTACAGTGGTCCCTCGCTACTTCACGCTTCGTTTATCACGGTCTCGCTCTATCACGGTTTTTAAAAATAAGATAGGACATGACACACAATTGGCAGATTGATGGACGAGCTGCATGATCGGCATGGAATTTTTATTTAAAATAAATTGTGCAGAGCCCACAAGCTGCAGAAAACGCTTCCTCCTGCAGCGTGTTACATCTCCGTTCTGCACCGGAGAAGTGGGCGTGGCCAAAAGCTCTCACAGATGGCAAAGCGCAGCAGGAGGCAGAGAGCTGAAATCATGACATGCTGTGCTCTTTTAGAGAGTTTAGAAACATTGTTTAGAAAATTTAAGAGTGTGGGAAGAGTTTATAACACCTTCATATATATAATAAACTACTACTTGCAACTATACAACTTGGACTACTGTATTCCTACTTCACGGTTTTTCACTTATCACGGGTGCGAGGTGGGGGTCCCTAACACCCGTGATAAATGAGGGAACACTGTACCAGTTTGTGAGTGAAAAAGCATTTCAGCTGTTTTTTGGCCGTTTGTGTACATGACAACTAGGGCTGGATGATATGGCCAAAACTTTTATCACGATATATTTCTTAATTTCGGTCTAACGATATAATTCCGATATCAATATAAACAATAAAAAAGCCTCAGAAAAACTGAACAAATTGTACAAATAAATTAATGTTCACCTTTTAAACGTTGGGACATGTTGGCTCAAACTTTTATTGTGCTTCATCTTCTGACTCTCAGCATATTCTAGAGATGGTGGAACAAGATAGATTTGATCCCACCGGCACGTTTTGCAGCGCACTCACTGAAACTTGCAGTTTAACGGATCTTAGATAGCCGAACCACTTCCATACTGTCGAATTAGTCTTTCCTCTCATCAATTATGTCATCTGCTTTCTTTTTGCTTGTGAAAGCTTGTTCAGTCACATTCTGACGGTCATGGGAACTTATTTTGAAGCAAAAACATACAGCGCATTGGAGCTTAGCTTGGCCTGCTACTGCTAACTCCTTCTGGATTCGAGCTCTGCGTAACATCTACGTCACCACGCACTTACATCGTTGTGTCGCGTTTTTTTCTGTTCGGGTTGAAAATGAAGCGGCTGCTTCAACCCGAACAGAAAAATAAACGCGTCAGTGAAGCGCTGTAATCATATCGAAATATCGAAAATGTGCTTAAAACTCATATCACCGTTATCGAACAAAAGTATCGTGACATATATCGAATTATTGTCCCGCCCTAACGACAACACTGTTTCTCTGAAACAGAAGCTTTTTGAATCCAGGTCTCAGAGTGGAGCTTTCTGGAAAGCATCGGTGAGAAGTTGCACGTGCGCACCACAGACAGATGCAGTCGACGGTGTTTTGTGTTTGCGCGAGTCAACAAACAGCAACGATGGCAGACAGCAGAGTGCTGTTTGTGCTGCTCATCCTTTTCAACGTGTATTGATATGGGAGCGACCCAACCTCATCCTTGGTCCAAACAAACATTCATGCATTCACCATTTTGGATAAATCTGTGTTCACTTGAGATTGAGTTGTTGAAGCACATGCACATGTCATTAAAATATAAAGCTCCCAGCACCAGCTAGTGACTTGGCATGGAAAGTACAGTGGATTCACAAGCACGGTATTACACTGGAAACAGGTTTCTATACTTACGTATAGAGATCGTTCATGTGCAAACAAGACAGGAAAACAGATATTTTTAATAGTTTCATTTGACTTTTTGCTACAATCTTTATGATTACAAATTTGATTTGTTTGTTATGCTTGCTCAGCAGAAAGCTACTCACTGAGATCCAACAATGTTCAGTCAGGTCATCTGGACGGTTTCTTTTTATTTTGCTGAGACGTTTCGTCCTTCATCCAAAGGACTTCATCAATCTGAGGAGCCACCAAACTAACTGAGTCTCACAAACAGCATGCTCCCGTAGTGGGAAAAAAAACTGTTTGCTGGTGAAAACTTCTCACTGACAACTGACAGCAACACATCGTCACAGCAACATCGCTTTTAAAACTGAAAGAAGTCCACAAAAATCACGGTGAAGCTTCATAATTCAGATCAGAGCACGACATCACTGAAACCAAGAATATAGAAATCTGGTGATTTCCATTATGGAAAACTCTCCAACTGGAAGAACTGAGGAGCAACACGGTGGCGCAACTGGTAGAGCTGCTGCCTCTCAGCGAGCAGGTCCCTGGTTCAAACCCCGGTCCAGGGGCCTTTCTGGGTGGAGTTTGCATGTTCTCTCCGTGCATGCGTGGGTTTTCTCCGGGTGCTCCGGTTTCCTCCCACAGACCAAAAACATGCATGTTAGGCTGATTGGTAACTCTAAATTGTCCCTAGGTGTGAGTGAGAGAGTGAATGGTTGTCTCGTTTGTCTCTATGTGGCCCTGTGATGGACTTGCGACCCATCCAGGGTGTACCCCGCCCCTCGCACAGTGATTGCTGGACATGGGCACCAGCGAACCCCGTGACCCAAAATGGAATAAGCGGGTAAAGATAATGGATGGACGGATGGAAGAACTGAGATGTTGCAATGATTGTATCAAGAGAGGGAACTCAGATACGAGAAACCAGACGGATACACTCCAAAAATTAAATGTTTTATTTTAAAGCTGATCATATACAAAGTACAGACATACAACAGTAAATAGAGCATAACGGGAGACAAATGGAACAAACCTGGAACAAATCTGGGATAAATAAGAGACAAAACAATCAACTAAATCCAGGAGAATGATGAATAACTTTACATAAACATGAACTACATGTTTGGAAACAAAACATCATCTGGATCAAATTTCACAAAATACAAGAAGAAAGAAACAAAAACCCAAAACATGTGTAAGATTAAAGTTATATGAGCACCATAGATTGAATTTTGTTCGATCTCACCCACACAAAGTTGACGTGGAAGAAGAAAATCTGGAAAATCTAGTGAAACACGAAAAATCCCCGCGTTTTAATTTTCACTTTTGATCCTGTAAAATTGATTTCCATTTCCAGAAGATGTGGTTTCTCCGTGTGGGCGTTGTTGTGACGAAGTTAGGAGACAGCAAGTTTTGTTGTGATCTATTTATCGCTCCGTCTGCTCTATAGTAATAAAAACAATAGGGTTAGTCTTCGTAAGTTTGTGGTAGTAAAATTAATTTTTATCTTTCTGTGCAGAACCCGGGCTGAGCTTGACGTTTAAAGACAGAGACATATTTGAAGATCCTCCCCCCTCCTGGTTCTCATCGTCCACCTCCCCCTCCCTCGATGTGACCCCACCCAGTGAACCCCCCTCCCCCTTCATTAGCCTCTTCGACTCCAGCTCCTCCATGGTTACCACGGTGATGAACGAGCATCCCCCAACGCTGCCTCCAGCCTCCACCAAACCCCAGGTAACCCCAACAGAACCGGAGTGCTTATTAAAGGCTGTCTCAGTGTGAATCCAGTCTGCTGTGGAAATCGAGTGAAAATGGGCCCCATTACTGCCGTTAAGCTGTCACAAACCTCTTAGCTCATCTCAGAAAAGACATTTTCTACAATGTAAAACTGAAAACGCTGCCGGTGGAAAATGTCCTCCAGCAGTCCAACCTCACCAGCTCAGAGTGTTTGAGAGAGATGAGATCAGAACTGCACCTCAGGGTTTCTGAGTCCAGCAGTTTTTTTGTTTTTTTTTTCCCGTTAACACTTTCTTGTTCTGGCGTCATAAACCATCCACTGGTTTTCTAAACCTGGTTGATGCTGTGCAAGCTATATGAGGAGTGGGTATCTGTCTCCAGCAATCATTGAATGAGAGACGACGGGGTACTTCCTGAACAGATCACCGGTCTATCACCGGACAAACATGGAGACACAACTGCACGTGCACACTGAAACATGAAGACAATTCATAAATATCAGTTAGGGTCGGCTTGTTATGCTGCCTTAAGCTTAGACTACTAGAGGACAAATTGACCTCATTTCCTTGAATTGGTAAATTCATTTGATACTATTTCTATCTTAACGTGATTCTTGACCTGCCATTGTGTATCTGTTCCTTCCAAACCCAGCCGGTTGAAGCAGACGGCCGCTTGTCCTGCGCCTGCTTCTGCTAAAAGTTCTTCCTCATGAGGGAGTTTTTCCTTTCCACTGTCGCCTTCATGCTTGCTCAAGATGAGAGTTCTGCGACGGAGTTAAATTCAAAACATTCTGCTCCACGGACAAATAGTGTTAAATTATTTTTATATGAATGTTCCTGTTCAGTGTCCTGAGATGACTTCTGTTGTGACTTGGCGCTATATCAATAAACTGAATTAATTGAATTAATTAACCCAACATGCATGATTTTAGACTAAAACTCAGAGAAAACCCTGTTCAATCCTGGAAAATTAGAAAGGCGAGGGTTATAGTTTACTTTTTGATGCAGCCAAACAATTCTGTATTAATTTAGAAGTGTCAAAATTTGACAGTGGTTTGCTTGTAGTAATGTCCTGTTGAGAAACATAAATGTCAGAACTGTGAAATGTGAAATGCAGAAGTGCTGCACCCGGACCAACAGAGACGCGACATAAATGACCTTCTGCACTGAAAGCTATTTGGAAGCACTTCCACTTGTGTGAAGCTGAAGGGACAACAATGTTGACAAGAGCCACGCTGTGTACAATTTATGGACACATTTCCACCCAAGTGGAGGAAGAAAAACTGTCAGTCACTGCTGCCATTTCTGAAGGCAGTATCTCACTGGGCTGACTGGTGTCAACTAGTGCATTCCTACAGGAGACTCCATTAATGTTTGCAGCACATTATGATGTGGGCAACGAGCAATAGTGTACAGCTTAGAATACAGGTCTCCAGGCTGAGAACACGAGTTATTTTGAAAAACGTAAAACACAGCCTCATAGGTCATAAAACACTCAGTTTAGTGAGACTGCTCTTTTTTTTTTTTTTTTTGCAATTTGGAGTTGCCATCTAGTTTTTAACAGATGGAGCACAGTGGGCTCCTACTTCATGGTGAACTCTTTGGAGCCACGAAAGACCAGTCATTCCCACATCTATGGAACCAAAACCCAAATCATGGAAATGCTGAAATAAAGCAGGTAAAATAGCTCCAACATATATCGCCACAAAATCTTATGTGCTCAGCATTTTGACTTTTTCTTATTATTTAGTCCACAAAATCTTGTTTTAATGCAAGTTTTACGCTGCAATGTAGAGCTAAACAGTGTATACGCTAATAAAATAATTTTATATTTGCACCACAGGCCTCTGAATAGAAACCAAAATGAATCATGAGGTGCCTATAGATTCACACGACTATAGTAATTATACCATTTATTTTTCTGTGCTGCCCGTCCTTTTATTTTTATTTATTACAGTAATTGTTGCATTTTGGGGGCGTGGAATGGTGGCATGTGTTTTGGAAAAGCTACAGGGGTGCATGAGCCAGCCCTCACCACCTGTCACCACCATCCACATTTATTCACGCTTGACTTCTTGACGGTCCTTCAGTTTTAAACAAAATGAACCACTATACATATAGTTTATCTTTCACATTTGTCACAAAAGCTTGTGGCCAAATTTTACCTAAATGCTAAAAAAAACAAGACAGCAGGACAGATATTCATGAACTTCCTCTAGACAAAGAGGTTATGGTGGATTTATCATGAGGTGAAAATTCATGCAAGGTTGTTTATTGCCTTGGTTTGGCTGGGGAGTTCTTTATTCTGTCCTCCCATTTGTCATCGTGTGAGCAAGCCAGTTTTCCGGGTCAACGTAGCACAAGTTTGACGTGTGGGGACGGTCCATATGCTCCGAGGCCCCAGGAGACGGTGCGAGCCTTTGTTTACTGAATCTAATATTTTTGAAGCACAGACAGAGCGTTGCTGCAAGGCTTCTTAATTAGAATTCGATCGCGTTTTTCTCTTGATGGTTTAATGAGCAGCTGAGAAGCAGGTAGCCCCCCCACAATTAATCTAATTGATATTTACACAGACCTATTTCCTGAGGGTGAAAGGAGTGAAAATATGGATCTGCTTCCACATGGAGCTGATTTTGTTGATGGATAAAGTATTCCACGAGAGATAGCTCGAAGACCCGCTGACTTAATTATACTGCGGATCATTTGTTCCCCCGGTGAAGAAGATGACAATAGAGATGTTTGGTTTTATTGCAAAAGTTATGGTCGTAGGAAATCACACGGGAGATTTGTTTGGCAGCGGTGGCATGAATGCACATCTGACGTCTTTCCTTTAGGAAGAGTTTTTACATTTATGGAACTCCCAAATCTAAAAAAAAACAAACAAAAAGGATATTAGACGAGAAGCTCTAATCATGATGAGTCATTTTATTTTTTATTTTTTACCACCTTCAGTGCAGTTGTTAGAGGGATCACCTCACAGCAAGGTCGCTTGTCTACCTCCTGGCCTTTTTGTGTGAAGTTTACACGTTCTCTGCTTGCGTTCATGGGTTTCCTCCCACAGACCAAAAACTTGTATGTTAAGTTAACTGGTAACTCTAAATTGTCTAGTTGTGGGTAAAATAGTGAATGGTTGTTGATGTGATGGACTGGAGACATGTCCAGGATGCCCCCCTCACATCTCACACAGTGACTGCAGGAAAAATACACCTTATGTCCTGCAACCCCCCAAAGGATAAGCAAATATAGAAAATGGATGCATGCCTGGACATCGACATTAGTATTTGGTGTCAACTCTGTTGGTTTGTTAGCAAAACGCATCACTTCCTGTAACTTCCTGTGATGCATTAACTGCATGAAAAGCTGACAATGTATGTATGCATGCATGTATATATAGATGGATGGATGGAAATAGTAAATGGACTGCAATTACTTAGCACCTTTCTATCTTATGAAGATACTTAAAGCGCTTTACACTACAATCTACGCCCTCATTTACCCATTCATACAACAAAGTTCATGCTCAATCATCCAGGCACCAAATCCATTAATGCTCAGTCAGGTCATCTGGACAGTTTAGTTTTTTTTCTAGAGATGTTTCACCCTTTATCAGGAGGGCTTCATGAGTCTGAGGAGCTCTAGCAAACTGTTTGGTCCACTTAAAGAAGTTTGGTCCGCTCAAGGTGGCTGCATGTTGGAGCAGCTCTGTCACTTTCATTATGAGTTACTGCTTTTGGAAACTTTAATTATTCTTTTTCTGGATGTATATCACTTTTTTCGGATGATTGTTTCCGCTGGTATCGGATGCAGTGCAGCTGGAAGGATTTTAACTGAACCCTTTTTACTTTTGGGCATTTGTTACGATGCGTAACCATGACAACAAGGTGTTTTTTTTTAACAACCAGGAGCAGCTGATTAACGTCTCAAAAGCTGAAATACCTCAACTACAGCATCAAATCCCAAATGAGTTGAAAAGGAGACTCCGTGGACAAATTCCTGTCAAAATGATGGCGGTGCTCGAGTGCCTGACCGCCGAGATCCTGGAGCTGGTGGGAAACTCGGCTCGTGACATCAGGAGGACCGGGATCATCCCCCGGCACCTTCAGCTGTCTGTCGGTGGCGACGAGGAGCTCGGCAGACTGCTGGGAGGAGTGACCATTGTTCAGGGAGGAATTCTGCCCAGCATTCGGGCGACCCTGCTGCCCAGGAGGACCGAGAGGCCAGCCGGATCTGACAGCAAGCTGGATCTGGGTGGACGAATCGATATCTGTGGACAGATTTTTCGTATTCACTGCAGGAGATCCTTCCGTCCCACAGCTATCAGCATCTAACAACTCTTGAATGGAACCAGGATGATGAGCTACGACAACACTTAACTTCCCTCTGGGATTAATAAAGTATTTTTGAATTGAATTGAATTTAAAGATATATGTATGTATGTATGGATGGATGGATGGACGAACAGATGGATGGATGGATGGAGTCAATTAAAAGAACTACGTCATCAGATTCAGGTACAACAGAGAACTTAACTGTTCCTTAACATCCTCTCTTTTCTTCTTATTCTTTGGTTACAATCAGTTTTTATTTTTAACAAGGCTCAGTTTATTCAAACAGTCTATTTTTACCTTTTGCCCCCAACCCTATCTCTTATTTGCATGTTTACACCAGAGTGTGTCCTCGATCGTTCGGGCTTCAAACTAAACATATGGCAAACTTGAAGCGAAGTGTTACCAAAGAAATCAAAAACACCCGGAGTTCATCACATGATTAACATGCAAATCAATAACGTGGGTATAATTTTCATGTGTTGATTCAATTCAATTCAATTCAATTCAAAAATACTTTATTAATCCCAAAGGGAAATTATTTTGTTGTTATAACTCGTTATCCTCATTTCATTAAGAGATGTTACAGATGCTGATGGCTGTAGGCAGGAAGGATCTCTTGTAAAGGTCCATCCCACAGTGGATCCTAAGAAACTGGCTGCAGATGCCGTCCGATCCATCCATCCAGACTCGGCTGACCTCTCAGTTCCCCTGGACTGTAGGACCGCCTGAATGCTGGGCTGAACTCCTCCCAGCAGTCTGCCGAGCTCCTCATTGCTGCGGACATCCAACTGTAGGTGCTGAGGGACGATCCTGTCCTTCCGCTGTCGTGAGCCGTGTTTCCTGCTAGTTCCAGGATCTCAGTGGTCAGGCACTCGAGCACAGCTGGCAGGTAGATGAGAATGCGTCCACATAACATCCTTTTCAACTCATTTGAGAGTTGGGGCCATAGTTGAGATATTATTTGAGCTTTTGAGATGTTAATCAGCTGCTGTTGTTGTAGAAAACAGCCTTGTTGCCATGGTTACGCATCATAACAAATGTCCAAATCTTAAAAAGTTTCAGTAAAAATCCTTCCGGCTGCACAGCATCTGATACCAGAGGAAACAATCATCCAAAAAATGTGATTTACATCCAGAAAACCAGGAATTAAAGTTTCCAAAAGCAAAATCTCAGAATGAAAGTAACAGAGCTGCTCCAACATGCAGCCACCTTGAGCGGCGCAATTCTAGAAGATGCAACCAGCTGCTCCAGTCATCAAAATGCTTTTTCTGTTGTTGCTTTTCAAGCTCTCGGTTACTTCGCAGACGACTTGAAAGAGACGTTTAAAGCTTTCACTGCCTGGAGGAAACAGCGTAATCAAGTATTTATCACTTCCTGTGATAGTTGTATTCAGCTTCAGTGTATAAGAATAAACGTGTGAAGAAACTAAAAGTATCCTGCTCTGTCTGACAAGTTCATCTGCTACACTTATGCGTCTACCTGGTTGTCTTTGTAAAAACTAAAAATATTAAAATACAAAAGATCAAAAGAGCACATATTTATGTTGTATCTGTAGGGGACGCTCAAAATGAAATTTAAAGAAGGAAACTAACAAATGGGACTAGATGGTGATATTTTTAGAGAACTGAGAAAACTTGTCGATTTAGACGTTCAGTGAACTGAGATTTTTTTATTGCTGCTGCAGCTGAGACTCAATTACAACAAAGTCCTTACTTTTACTGGACGGGGATTTGAAATGGACAAAATAAAGTCATAAGTAAAATATTAAACTTCAGTGATAAGAGGGTATTTATTTATATAGCGCCAAGTCACAACAGAAGCCATCTAGGGCACTGAACGGAAACATTCATATATAAAAATAATAATTTAAAATCTCTATTATAAGATGGAGCTAGGTTGTTGAGAGCTTTGTAGGTTAGAAGTAAGATGTTGAATTCAATTCTGGATTTGACAGGGAGCCAATGGAGAGAAGCTAAAACTGGAGAAATATGATCTCTCCTAATTAGAGCTATTTTTTTTATTTTTTCTATTTTCTAAGGTCAGATTCATTGGTGGCCATCTTGAATCGAACTGGCTACAAAGGGTAGCCCGGTTGTAAATTTCAATCTTATGTTTTTTTCTGAAAGTTTAAAGAAAATCAGTGATTCGGAAGATATTTTGCTTACAGTAAAAAACAAACAAATGCGCACACATATAGTTAAAACTAATTATTGCTTCACCTTTTGATGACGTGTGACAGAATGAAGTGACACACCAGGATAGTAATATGACATATTAACAAAGTTTATTAAAATAAAAAAATTAAATAGTTTTTATAATAGTTTATGTGTACAGTGATTCTAACTCCAACTCCTACAGACATCACAACTAAGTCAAGCTTTAAAGTATTTAACAGGCTCAACAAAACTATTGTTTTACCTTGTGAAATGTGTTTTGTACTTAAAATAAAAAAATCATTTTAGTTTTTTTTTTAATTAAACACTTTAAAACAAATTGTGGTGCAGAGCAAAGATTTCAAAAAGCAGCGCCATGACGAGTAAAAGATAGATTAAAAACCTCAAACACCAACATGAACAACACTATAATAAAACAACAATAAACTTAAATAAATACAAATATGTAGACAGCATATTTTAAATCAAAAGTCATATTGTTAAACTAAAACGTGAAGGAGTGATAAAGCACCTGCAGGACGCTTTGATTCGAGTGCTGTTGTGTTTAATGACGTGGAAGTTTGAATCTGTACGTGTATCAATAAGACTGATGGGAAGTTTATCTGTTTATCTGAAGGCAGCCGTCCTCTCTGTTCATAACTCATGGTTTTCTAAAGCTCTGCTGCCGGTGTTGTCTCTGACTGCATTTTATAAATCGCTGAAGCATAACTGCTGCAGGTCACAACCCAGCGTGTTTCGTTAAAGTGAATTACCTGCACACGTACAGTAACTTACTGCTGCTGCTTGTTGACTGATCTTACTGACTGTTCAGTCTCTGCAGAGCTCTTAGCACCACCTTATAGTGTCTGCTTCACTACCGATGAGCTTTAAAACTGAAAGGTGGCGGGTGATAGGCATTCCTTCAAAGACTGCTTTATTTTTTATTATATTCTGACCGTGATCAGATGTTTATCAGCACGCTTTAATTGTTGCATGATTGTTTCTTGTACCAAATTAAACCAGAGCGTTTCCACTAATTTAAGCTTTGATTTTCAGAGGTCTGGACAAGGAGAAGTGATGCCAACACTGGACATGGCCCTGTTTGACTGGACGGACTACGAGGACATGAAACCTGTAGATACCTGGCCCTCTTCCAGGAAGAAAGGTTGGCAACATGGCTGCAATGTTACTTTCATAGGAAGTGAGCAGGTTGTAATGTAAGCAATGTATCTTTATTATTTCCACACTCATGACAGACTTTTCTGAGCTGAAGTAAGTTAAGGCCCACACAGTTGGTGCTGTCAGCCAATCACAGGGCCAGAAAAGGTTATTTTAGTTACACAAAATATTAAGAAGCTTGTCTGAATGCTTTTGTTTGATGTCTACATCGGGCAGCTGTAATCACCTGGACAATAAATATTTGCTGCTTTGAGCGTTTATCCTGGAAAAAGTTTAAAGCTTTTGGGCTGCAGTCTATAAACTCAAAGCTCAATAAAAGAGGTTTCTTATTTTCTATATACATCTATAACTATATACATCTATTTCAGGGTTAGGTTATGTGGGGCTAAAAGTTAACTGCAGTAAAAGAATAGCTTTCAAACTGATTCAGGATTACAGTGCTTTAAATAGTTTTTTTTTTTAAGTGTTAGCATTGTAATAAATAAAAGTAAAACTACTATTATTAACCTTTATTTAAACAGGGAAATCCCATTGAGATCACGGATCTCTTTTGCAATGGAGGCCTGGCCCTGAAGGCAGCCTAACATGCATGTTTTTGGTCTGTGGGAGGAAACCGGAGTACCCGGAGAAAACCCACGCATGCACGGAGAGAACATGCAAACTCCAACATTTTTCAGTCAGGTCATCTGGACAGTTTCTTTTTTTTTGTGCTGAAACGTTTTGCCTTCAATCCAGAAGGCTTCATCAGTCAAGGAAACACACAACAAAACTGATTCTTCCCCCAACAGTTTACTTCAAAGTGGAACAAACCACTTATGTTGGTGCTAAAATGGTCTCTTTGGCACGCCCCCTCCTCCATTGCCGGCCCTCTTCCTTGTTGACAGTCGTGTCAAACTGGTTGAAAACAACAAAGTCCATGCTCAATAATCCAGGTATACAATCCAACAAACAGTTCTGCTAACTGCAGCTCCTCAGACTGAAGAAGTCTTTTGGATAAAAGACGAAACGTTTCAACAAAGAAGAATGCGTCCAGATGACCTGACTCAACCTGGTTAGGTGCATCTGCCTGGATTATTGAGCACGCATCAGGACTAAATAAAGTAAATAATTTTTCCTTATACAGACAAGAGGCGGAGCAAGAACCTCAGCAGTGGGAACATAACTGCAGATGCTAGTGCGGTCGAACCATGTGACCACCACCTGGACTGTCTTCCTGGTCTGTATAAACATGAAATATTTCCAGGATTAGAACCGTTTTAGTTATTTCACCTCTGCAGACATGACAGCTGTATGATCTGGGTTCAGCTTTTCTGTAAACGTTACGCAGAGTTTTATTCCACCAACAAAGACTGTTTCTGCTTCAGTACTGTGGGAACATTTCAATGTGTGCTCTTTGTTTTGCTCAAGGTTCCTGTTGTGACCTGAGACAACACGAGTGTAAACCTCACAACAGAGGCCTCAACAACAAATGCTACGATGACTGCATGTGCGAGGAAGGTGAGTGAGGAAAACATTTTACAACCAAAGCCTGAGGTTGGATTTCACCTGGCACTTTGTCCCCCACATTAAACACGTTACCAGAACTACCACCTTCCACCTGCGTAATATCACTAAAATTAGAAACATTGTATCTAAAAATGATGCAGAAAAACTGGTTCATGCATTTATCACATCTAGACTGAGCTATTGCGATGGTTTGTTATCTGGATGTCCAAATACTTCTTTAAAAAGTCTTCAGTTAATCCAAAATGCTGCTGCCAGAGTCTTAACTGGCGTTAGTAGGAGAGATCACATCTCTCCAGTTTTAGCTTCTCTCCACTGGCTCCCTGTCAAATCCAGAATTGAATTCAAAATCTTACTTCTAACCTACGGGGCAGAGTGGGGCTCTGTTTTATCAACTTGAAGAAGACATCGGCAGGAGTTTCGGCCGTGGCAAAGCTTCCGAGTCTGTGTGAAGGTTTGGTTTGTGGTATGAGGTCTCAAAATCAGCTGATTTACGAGCTAAGCTGTAAGATGGAGGCAATTTGTGAGAATCGCAGGCCACCTGAGGCTTCTAGGACTCGCCAGCATGTTGAGATCGACCTTCACGAAGGCTCATAACACGGATCAGTGGAGTGAATTAACCATAAATCTGTCCATTTTGGATCTGGAAAGTTCCAGCAGGACTCGAGGCTGACAGGAAAAAAACAGTCTGCCTGAAGAAAATCAACAATTGTGGCTTATCTGAATCTGCCTCCCCCGTTTGGCCTCGGATGTGGGCCGATTATCAAATTTCTCCTGGGACATGTGTAAACTAAGGAAAAAGCTTTGTCTATCGCTAACCCCCACCCCCAAGAACTTCTGTGCAGGCTTACAACAACATCATCAGAACTATGGCCTATCTGAAAGTGCTTCATGGACAAATCTCAACGTCTTGACATCAATGCATATGTAATGTGTTTATAAATGTTCTTGCTGGTAGAGTTTTTGATGTCTCAAATCATGTCCTGATAGGACAAGATGGGAAGAGATCTTTTTTTGTAATACCACTATCAATCCTCATGGTCTTTTACCTTTTTCTATCTAAAAGTATGCTGATAAAGAATAAGTGTCTGCGCTCTTGTAGCAGCAGCAACGTGCACGCCGCCCATCTTTCGAACGACCGTACGAACATAATTTCACTGTATCCCGGTACAATGATAATAAAGCTTATTCTGATTCAAACCTCTCAACAATCTAGCTCCATCTTTTAGTTGAGATCTTATTGTTCCATAGTTTCCTAACAGAGCACTTTGCTCTCAGACTGTAGGTTTACTTGCGGTTCCTAGAGTTTCAAAAAGCAGAATGGGAGGAAGATCTTTCAGTTATCAGGCTCCTCTCTTGTGGAACCAACTTCCAGTTTCTGTCCGTAAAGCTGACACATTGTCCAGTTTTAAGACTTTCCTTTAAAATAAATCCTATAGTTAGGGTTGATTTGTTATGCTGCTATAGGCTTAAATTACTAGAGGACAAATTGATCTCATTTTCCTAAATAAATTGTTAAAAATGAATAGTTTTCATTTGATACTATTTCTATCTTAAAGTGATTCTGGACCTGCCATTGTGTATCTGTTCCTCTCAAACGCAGATGTCCGCTTGTCCTGACACATTTTCTGCTAAAGGTTTCTTCCTCGTGAGGGAGTTTTTCCTTTCCACTGTCGCCTTCATGCTCAAGATGAGAGTTTTGTGATGAAGTTAAACTCACAGCAGTCTGCTCCTCAGATAAATAATGTTAAATTATTATTTTTATATATGAATGTTTCTGTTCAGTGCCCTGAGACGACTTCTGTTTTGACTTGGCTCTATATAAATAAACTGAATAGAATTTGAAATATTCGTAGTAAATGCTCTGAAATGGTGCTTGTGTAGCACCCAGGATCTCCCCGTTAGTCGTGATGATTAGCTGCCTTTGCTTTCCATTGTGCAGCTGAGTAGCGGGCTTTGAAAAGGAGACAGTCTCAGCTTTTGAAAGAGTCCATTTTATAGAAACTTCAGACCAGTACAGCGCCGTTGCAAACCACACGCCACGTGGTCTTTTTTCACTTCCTGAAAGCTGCTGCAACTCCACAAAGTGCAAAGCAGAACGAGCCGCGTTTCATGCAGCTATAACTTCAAAATGTTGCTTTGTTTTTTTTTTTTCTGATTGCTTCGTCTTTCAGATAACAAACCTTTGGAACCTATTTTTTCAGGGTTTCGCTGTTACGCTAAATTTCACCGCAAACGGCGAGTGACTAGAAGGAGGGGCCGCTGCGTGGCGCCAGATTCAGTCAGCAGTGACCACGGAGGCTTCATCACTATATGAAGATGAGAGGGACGAGACGAGCGTGAAGAATCTCTACACCATCACCGAGACAAATGTGACGGGACGGCCACGACACAGTTAGGTGCTCAAAGACGTTCTCTTGCTGTTCTTTTTGTTGCTGCTGCCAATTCCAAATCAAAACCGCACATATAATAAATCAGATGCAGACATCTAGTCATTTAAAAACACAAAATAACTGGTGGCTAAACTGTTTTTTTGGAGTAGTTTCTAGCAAAGCACCATCTTAAGCACCTAGTTTAACGCAAACTGTTTAGTTCTCCTCACCACTGATGCAGTAAAATGGAAACGATGAAAATTAATTCTGCATTGATGTTTTAAAATGTGTTTTTATTTTGCGTTGGTTTGATTTAATGGATTCAATCAGCGACTAACTGATGATTTCACTCAGTTCAATTATTAAACTTCAAAGTAGTTGGATGATTTAACGCAAAGCAAAAACCGATTTAGTTTAAAAGCACAACTTTTACCGAGGTTTTCTTATAAAAGTTTGTTTTAAGTTTATTTTTCAACAGAGCAGAGTGAAACAGTGATAAAATAAGTTTTGATTGAATCCTGTTGGAGTCCAGGACGAGTTTATTTTATTGATTTAAAACGGTTAAAATTATTTCAAATGCGAAGTCATCCAGAAAAACGATGAAATAATTTGATTTGTTGTGATGCTATTAAATTTTCCGTTACATCAAGATTTTTGGCGTCTTTATTGAACTATTTTCCCAACTAATAATGGTTTGTGAATGTCCTTTAAATCTGTCTGGATTTATAAACATGAAACTGTTCCAGAAGCCAAGAGGGTTTTCTTTGAACCAATGTTACTACGTGAACATTGCCATCAATAATGTGGTTCTTTTGTTTTTAAATCACACGTCCTAATGTATGTTGAATTGTTCTGTTTAAATATGCTTGTCTGTGCTTTTCTGATTTCATGATTAAATACTTACTCTGATAAACTCTGTGCAGTGAACTTTCTCATTAACAACCGCTAATTTCAGGGGAAACTTAAGAAAGAACTGAAAAATAAGTGTTTTTTTAATTACCGTATATTCCGGCGTATAAGTCGCATCAGTGGAAAAAAAGCATCACGAAGAGGAAAACGTTTAAGTTGTGTTTATTTAATGGTCAAAACAGCTTCATTTCGCCTGGGTGGTGCAGCCCCATCCATCCATCCATCCATCCATCCATCCATCCATCCATCCATCCA